CCCCAAAACCCCAAAACCCCAAAACCCCAAAACCCCTAAGTCCAAGCTGAGAGTTGGGTCATAATTAAATTTTTGGGAAATATGGAAGTGACTATATCGTTAGATCAGCTAATCAAGTACCACTCGAAGATCGTCATGTTGAAGAAAAACCCAGAAAAGTTAGCAGTCTTTGTTAGTAAAATGGTAAGGGAGGCTAAATTTTGCATTAATGGGGTACTATCAGCTAAAAGAGTCTTGAATTTCAAGATAATTCACTTACTACCATTGGATTAACATTTGGGACATCAAAGTTTTGACCAGCCAGGCTTCTATTTCATCTGGATTAGCAATAAATTCTATATAGATCGGTTCAGGGAGTAAGTCCCAAATAATGCAGATATATGACATGATTGTGCCTCCATTTTCAAACCTAAAGAGTAAAGATAAATAGGAAAGTGGCAGCTTTGATTATTTTTGAAATATGTTCGACTAATTTTGAGCTTCTTTGAATGATCTCTGAAAAGCTAAAATTCTCACCAGCCAATGGGAAAGTATGACTGAATACAATCCCGAAGGCATTAACCGAAAAATTTAATAATAATCATGAGCTGTTCAACGAACTTAAACAATTCCTTGAAAGCTCTGCTTTGATAGAGAACAAGGACAACTTTTGGACTTTTCCTGAGTTTAAAAGTACTCATAAAATAAACCAGAATTCTCTGCCCAAGAATTTGAAGGATTTGGTTTTCCCTGATCCAAAATATTACATGATGGGATTCAACCTAGACAAGAAAGAAAATGGGTCTGAAAACAAGCAAAGTGATTGGAATATCAGTCAATCTAGGACAAATGATACATTAAAGAAAAGTTTTAATAAGCCTTCTTCTCCATTGGAGGCATCTACCTACAGTGACCATAGCCGGAAGAACTTCTCTTCTCAGAATCATAAGTCAATGATACAGAAGTTGAAATCGAACAAGAGGTAAATATCATGTGATATATTTAGACACCCTTGTAAGCCTAAGAAGAGTATACAATTTGCAGGAAACAAGAGGAGCAGTATCCAGGATGTACTATACAAGCCAAAATTTAGCATAACTTCGAAGAGCAATACCTCCGTGAAGGCCTCTTCCAAGGTGAAAAATTACTCCATGGTCAAGAAATACATGCTTAAGAAGGATAATGACAGGGAGAGCAAAAAGTTTTCCATTTTGAAAAAGAAGCCGTACAAGAACTCCACCCCTGTGAGCGCTTCAATGTGAATGCAAGGAAGGAGCAGTGATCTTATTAATAATCTGAGTCAGATATCTGGCCGGTCTTTCTATAGTAAGTCTAATGCCACTCAGACCCCAAAGTCGGCTATGAAGGCTAAGTTTAAGACCAATGGAGAGCAGCAGAATGAATTTGCTACAAAGTTTGACACATATTAATGTTTAGAACTTTATATAAATCCCAAAATACTCCAAAGCAGAGGGCGATTCCAAGGCCTAAGCCAAAGGTAATCTCTTCTCCGGGAAAAGCAAAGAAGGCTTCCCAAAAGATGAAGGAGATAAAGTCAAAATTTACTCCAAGTAGAAACCAAAAAATGAAGTCTGATGGGCTTAACTCCTACGAAAATTGTATGTGAAAGGTCTGAAATATAGCGAAACCTAAGAAGATTATATTCCAACAGATGTGAAGCAAGCCTACTACAGTGAGTAGCAGGCTAAGAAAGATGAAAGAGCAAGGTTTGTGGCCAACTTTTCATATTTATAGCTCTTATCTCCTCAAGACTGAGGAATAAGAAATCTGCTGGGCCTGAATATAGCTCATCTCTGCATGAAGCAATGAACAAATCAAGTAAGTTGCCTATCTAAGCCTTGATACAGGTCTTGATTATTATGCCAGGGCAAAGCCAAATGCGACTAAATTTCAGAAGTTAAGAAAGCGTGTGGCTAAAACCTTCGTGGAAAATCGCTTAAAATAATTATACTACTATATTTACCAATAATTTACTAGAATTTGGGGTTTTGGGGTTTTGGGGTTTTGGGGTTTTGGGG